TGAGAAACCACTTTGAAGATATCAACATGTATTACAGCAGCCATTGATAATTTCCTACCCGCTCAAAAAAACCCTGCTGGTTTGGGGATATTTGTTATGCAGCAGTAGACAACAAATACATTTCCGAACATAAAGTCATGCTTCATCAGAGCCCAGGGTCATGTGTGGTGTCTGCATGTATGTGTGTGGATGGGGTTCAGGATACCAGTCCCCGTCAGAGGCCTGCCACAATCACTAGCAGGTTGGAAGAAGATAGGAAGACAGGGCCCCCCGTGCTGAAAGGGGACTCGTGGGCACAGAACTACTCGGGTGGAGGGTGTGAATATCCACTCAGGTGGACAGGGGAGCCGTGTGTGAGCCCAGGGCTCTGGCCTCTATGTCACACAATGCCCGTCACTCTTCAAATTCAGGTAAACAACACAAATTCAGGTAAACAACACAATAGATTCCAAGAGGGCAGCCCCAGAGCTTGAGATCTCAATCGCAGGACCCTACTGACTGGAGAGGCCTGTGAAACACGTTGGTCAACAGCCCATGAGGCCAAGGACGGGGCCATAATCCTACACATTTAAGAAAAATAAGATTATTTGTCAACAGACTTCCTTCTACCACTCTTACTTTGCCCCTTTTCTAGAAGGGCTTATTTGGGACTATTAAAAATGGTCTGAAACCCCTTTTTTTTCTGGAAAATTTTAATTCATGTCTTCTCTCCCATTTTCTGCCAAAAATACTCTGTTGACCTTACATCGCGCACATCCACCAAAAAATATCTTGTGAGTCCACACTACGACCACAAGGTGGCGAAGGCGTGCACTGCAAGGGGGATTTCCAGCTGAAGTCAGAATCTCCCTTCCTGGAGGCTTTGCTGTGCGTTCCCATCGCCTACGTTATTATCTATCTACTTCACATTTTTCTGGGGATCAGCTCTCTCTTTACACTGCAAATATGTTTTAAGAAAGACAGTTTACACCAGGCATGGTAGCTCAAATTCTAGCTCTCCGGGGGCTGGGACAGGAATATCACCAGTTTCAGGCCAGCCTAGGTCACTTAGTGAGGGAGCAAAAGTAGCTCAGTGTGAAGTATCTGGGTTCAATCCCCAGTACACCCACACACAAAGTAAAGTTTATATAATATATTTGAGAAACCTGTATCACTTGCCGTACAAATAAAATAACATCGCAGCCAGGCGTGGTAATCCCAGCACTCTGAGAGGCTGAGCCAGAAAGATTGCAACAGGACAGTTGAACAGGAGCCCGTCCTGTTAAACTTAGCAAGACCATCTCTCAAAATTAAAAATCAAGCCAGGCAGGGTGTTGCATCCCCATAATTCCAGCACTCAGGAGGCTGAGGCAGGAGGGTCATTGTGAGCTTGAGAACAGCCTTGGCTACAAAGTGAGTTCAAAACCAATCTAGCTTCATAGCAAGACCCTGTCTCAAAAATAATTAAAATTAAAAAAGGGCTGGAAATGTGGCTCAATGCAAAGCGCCTAGGTTTAATCCCCGGTACTAACAGAAAAAAAGGAAGGAAGAGAAAGGACAAAGAAAGAAAGAAAGATCACAGTAAGTTGACCAGCTGTAGTTGGTTCCTAAGTCCTACAAGTGGGGACAAGAGCCGGGTGGAAGTACTGGTTTTTAGGACTGCCACGCTGGGCTGGGTTTGACCCTTTTGATCTCAAAGGGCACATTCTTCAGATTTGGAAACTGAGGCAGAGACAGGCTGAGACTGGGAGCTGGGACTCCAATCCCATCTTTTATCTCTTCGCTTCCTGGCTACCCAGAGGGGAGCAGCATCCTCAGCCAGCTCCTGCTTTGATGTGTGCCTCGCCCCGGCCCTAAAGTGACAAGGCCAACTGACTGTGGAGCCAGGCTTCCAGGAAGAGGTCGCACCCTTGGCCAATCTTACCGGGTGGAAGGTGCTGGGGAAAATGTCAAGGGCGGGGCTAGGAAGAGGGGCTGCCGAGGCAAAGATATTGAGAAAGAACGCAGGCTGGGGAGTAAGGGACGAGGACAACTACCAGGAAGCTCAGGTCAGGAAGACATGGCCTGAGGTGAGGAGGCAGCGGCAGAAGAGGGGTGGGGATGGCCACAGCGTGAGGACTGTGACAGGGCAGGAAGGACAGGACGGCAGAAGCCCACACAGAGGCCAGGAGAACCTGCTGAGGAGCCTGACTGTCCTGAAGACGCTAAGGAGCCATGAAAGGATGTTGTGCAGGGAAATGGCAAGGAAGAACCTTTGTAGCCAGAGCCAGAGACCAAAACCAAGGTCACAGTTGTCCTGGAGGGAGGGCCAGCAAGCTCACAGCATTTATTAAACAATGCCTGCTCAGTGTAGAGCATCCACCTAGCTTGTGCAAGGCCCTGGGTTCCCTCCCCAGCGAGCACAGGTCACTGAGTTGCTTAATAAACATCGGGCACACGTATCCAATTACCATATATTACCCTCACGTATCAAATTATCATTGCATGTGTCAATTGACTATATAAAGATGCACAAATATTACATCTCAATAAAAAAGAATCAAGAAAAAAGAAGAGGAAAGGAAACAATGGTGGTGCACAACTGTAATCTCAACAGCTAGAAGGCTGAGGCAGGAGGATCTTGAATTTGAGGTCAGCCTGGACTACATAATGAGTTAGACTCTGGCCTGGCCCTTGTGTCAGAAAAATAGAAACAAAGAGAAGAAAGTGGGCCAGGTCACAGGGGGCCTCACAGGTGATGGACAGTGGGGAGTGAAAAAAGCCAGCGAAGATGAGGGCAGTCGGCACAGAGGGAGACACGGTGAAGTTCTGAGGAATTTTGGTGGCTGAGACGACAGGAATGACCGGCAGGCTGGACCACAAGGAGGGACAGCTCTTCAGAGTTCTGTGGAGGAGAAACGCAGAAGCCGCTGGTAATGGGAGGAAGGGAGGGGTGAGGGGAAGATTTTTTCAAAATGGCGACAAGATAGGCTGTCTGCAACATGGTGGGAAAGACGGCCAGGGAGCCTGAGGTGGGAGCCAAGCGGGACTGGCCGTCAGAGAGATGCAAACGGCTGGAGGGGACTCAGTGGCCTGAGTCACTGGGGAATAGCAGCTACGCCTGGTTTGGCTGTGGGAAGCCAAACCAGGTGCCAGTGCCGTGGTGTCCGTGGTGGACATCCTTGTTGTCCAAAACACAGGCACACAAGGTTTTTGTAGAATAAAAGAGGCCATAAGCATAGTTAGAAAGGGGTTTCCATCTACAGGGAGTGACCAAGCAAGGAGCCTGAAGGGACAGGATCGGGGGCCTGCCTCCGTTTTCCCACAGGAAGAGCGTGTGGAAAACCAGGTCAGCCAACTCGGGCAGCCCTTGGAAGAGCAGAGCGCCTCTCCCTGCGTGCTCCTGGCCTCTGCCCGTGTCCAGTCCTAAGCCTGTCTGAGCAAGTGCAGACCAAGGCCCAGGACCGCCTCCCGGTTCACGTCCTCGGCCGACGCCAGCCGTGACCACGGGGTTGGCCTGTGCGTCCCCTTCCCTTTGCGGTGGCCTCGCCCTCCTCCCACAGACCCCGCCCTCAGCAGTCCCCAACCGGGGCTCACTCATGTCACCGGAACCCCTTCTGCACGACCCCAAAGCATCGCTGCATCCCAGGGGTTCTCCGACTTCCACGGGCACCACTCCTCCGTGTGCACAAACTCTGCCGTCTCTGCAAACCACTGACTGACTTGGTTCTGTTTCATAATAGTGAAATCTTTCTGATTTGTTATAAAATGTATACATTAATGTTCTAATTTTCCAATATAACTATAATATTTTACTGTTAGGCTTAATTTTAATTAATATCTTATAATACTAAAAACAATACAATATGATACATTTATCCTTTTTTGTTATTTTTTTATTTTAAAGAGAATTAAAAAACCAATAACAACAGAAACAAAAACAAAACAACATAAAAACAATAAAAATGATACAGGGTTTCAAAACAAAATGATAGGAATTAACAGTGGCTGTTATATTACATATTGTGAAGTTCTTGTTTTTTTGACACAGAGTCTCACGATGCAGTTCAGCTTGGCCTTCAACTCACTTTGTAGCCCAGGTTGGCCTCAAAGTCGCAGCAATCCTCCTGTCTCAGCCTCCTAAGTGCTGGGATGACAGGCGTGTGTCACCACGCCCAGGTGATACAGTTATCTCTTAAAGGGAATGTATATCACTAACATTAATGGAAAATGATGTCAGTCCCCTAAATAGAAAGTAGCCATAGAAGTAGATTTAATGCAAATAAAGTCTTAAATTCCAGCTAGACATGAAGGTCTGCTCAAGGTTCTAAGCCTCAGGCCTGCAGTTGTTTATCAGAAAGAAGATTCAGGAAGTATCAGATGCTAAAGATACCAGGGCACTAAAAAGGGCTCTCCTTGACCTATTCAGAGCGAATAAAAAAAATTCAAAATCATCACTTTTAGCTAGGCGTGGTGGCACTTGCCTGTAATCCTAGAACTCTGGGAAGCTGAGGCAGGAGGATCTCAAATTCAAGCCCAGCCTGGGAAACTTAGTGAGATTCTGTCTCAAAATAAAAAATATGAAAGGGATGGGGATGTAGCTCAGTGTGAAGGCCTTGGATTCAATCCCCAGGACCAAAAAAGTCAAGTTACTATTGCCTGTAGGGCCTCTGCTGAAGGAGATTTCCAGCCCGTACTTCTGTTGGACAGGGGTCATGGCTCCCATTTTACAGATGGCGAAAATTGAGATAGAGAGAAACAACCGCAGAGTCCCTCATCTCAGGGGCTTTCTCCTCTGGGAAGCCCTGGGAACCTCCTGGGACCAGGTTAGGGGCCATTTCAGGTCTCCTACAGATGCAGCACTGGAACCCCGGGGAGACTGGGATGGAAGGGGACGCCCTTCCCTAAACTTGGGTCAGCCTGTGGTTCTGGGCCCAAGGCCCCCGGACCTCCTGGCTCTGGAGATAGCCCTCAGCAGCACTTGGGATAAGCCAGGCTATTTTCATCATTTCCGGCCTCCCCGCAGCTACCAGCCACTGCCTCTCACAGTGCTGTCGCTGCCGGCTGCGTCGGGTCGGAGCAAGTCACAGAAACGGCCCCAACGGAAGGCCTGGCAGGTAAGTGGCCTCCTGATCAGCCAGCACACCTCCTGCATGGCGGCCGCTCCTGCTGGGCTGGCCGGGAGCGAGGAGGCCACCTCTGGCCCCAGATTCCTTAGCTGAGTCAGTGAGTGGTCACTGAGGCGTGCTGGGCCCGGGCCCTGGCGGGGAAAACTGTTGAAAGAGAGGAAACAGCGCTTCCGTTCACACGGCCGGGAGCCCATCGGACAGGTGATCTGCGGCCCTCGCTGGTCGGACCCCAGGCGCCGTCTCTCCCGGGGGCCGCGGGCCAGGGCTGGGACTCCCTGAGCTGTCGTGTGTTCCCCGCACCTTAAGCAGGAGCTGGGGTCCAGGGAGTCCCCTCCCAAGAGCACACCCCACACTCAGCCCCCCTCCCTGTCCTGCCTCTCGGTGTCCAGCGAGGGTCCGTGAGGCCTTCAGCGCCACCCCGTCCCACTGAGGGGAAAGCTAAGGAGGGAGGTGAGCGCCCCTTGTCCCGGGTCCCGTCAGCGGCCCCTCCTCGAGCCTCTCTCCCCACAGCCCGCCTGCCCGATGCCCGCCTGGGGGCTTCTGCTCCTGCTCTGCACCGTGGCAGCTGCCACGCAGAACTGCCCGGCCCCGTGCAGCTGCCAGGCCCTGGAAACCATGGGGCTGCGTGTGGACTGTGCGGGGCGAGGGCTCACGGCCCTGCCCCCCCTGCCCAGCAGCACGCGCCACCTCCTGCTGGCCAACAACAGCCTGCGCTCCGTGCCCCCGGGCGCCTTTGACCACCTGCCCCAGCTGTGGGTCCTCGACGTGTCGCAGAACCCCTGGCACTGTGACTGCGGCCTCACCTACCTGCGCCTCTGGCTGGAGGACCACATGCCTGCCTCCCTGCCGGACGTCCTGTGCGCCAGCCCCGACCGCGCTGCCCACCACCCGCTGGACCAGCTGACGGGTTACCAGCTGGGCAACTGTGGCTGGCAGCTGCAGGCGCCCCGGGCCCTCCCTGGGCTCTGGTGGGACGCGGTGCTGGTGGCTGTGATGGCCGTGGACGTGGCTCTCCTGGCTGGCCTGCTGTGCACCTCCACAAGGTCCCTGGGCTGAAGTCAGGAGCCCACAGCCGCCCCTGGCCCTGGGGAAGCTCCCCAGAGCCCAACAACTCCGCTCACCCCAAACCGTCAGAAGCCTCAAAATAAACCGGCTGCTTAGTCATTTTACCCAAGCGTGGAGTACTGGGTTTTCTCCCAGCACCTGAATCTGGCTGCTTCTACAACCCCGGGCTCATTCTGTTATGACCAGATAGCGGCTGGGGCTTCTCTGTACCTCAGATTCCCAGGAGCACGAGCTGTCCTACCTCCCCCATGCAGTCACCTTGCACCCCACAATGTCCAGAGGTCCCAAGCCAGGTTGTGGACTCTGATTCTCATGGCTTCTGCTCTCTGCTGCATGGGGCTCCAGGATGACCCAGGCCAACTTTGCAATAGTATTCAGCCCCGTCTCCAAGTCCACCGGAAGCTTGCAGTGAGCAGGACAGGGTGTCCCAAAGATTCCGGGGAGCTCCATCTCCATAGTCTAAGATCCCTTCCCATGAGGGTTTCCCACAGGAGCCCCATGAGTTAAGTACGGTGCCAGTTAGGGTCACAGGAGGCCACCAGGAAGAGCAAGTGGGCACAGAGTGAGGCTAGAGGTCACTGACCCACAGAGGTCAGGAAGGGACTGGTACCCCAAACTCAGAGTGGGGGACAGCAGGGAAGGGTGGGGACTGCAGCAAGCCAGGAAGCCCATGTTCCATCCAGAGGGGCTTGGCCAGTGGCCATCACATACGGATGTGGATGCGGATGTGGATGCAGATGTGGATGCAGATGTGAACTCAGGAGCCCGGGTACCAGGGAGGTTGGAGACCTTGATTTTTGCACCCCATCTCTGTCCTTGCAGTGCTGGCGACTCAATCAAAACCTTAAAACATATGTGTCAGCAGAATGAAGGAAGCACATGAGTCGCCCAGACGCAGTCTCGGGGCTGGGTTTAGTTTCTGCAGTAAAAGTCAGCTCTTACACAGCCAGGCTGCCCAATGACCACAGCCAGAGCCTGTGCTCTGGGCGAAGCCCCTCACGTTCTTGGTTGTCCTGGAAACCAGGCGGGCCAGGCAACGTCCTCCTCCGCAGGATGTGGAGGAGGAGCAGGTCTGTTGTTGGCCACCGGCTCTGTCCTCTTTCACAGGTACACAGAAGCTTCTGGAGCCTTGCAGTCCCTGGAACTAAGGCCCTTCCCCCCAACTCCCATGTGGGCTATAACCCAGATCAGTCACCTGCCCCTAAATTCTGTCCTCGCCCCACTCTCTCCTGAGGCTTTGGGGTGTTGGGCCATCCAACTGTCTGTCAGGCTGTCTTGATCAACCTTCCAGGGGCTCGGCCTCCCCAGGGAATGAGTCCCCTGAGGCTGAGGAGGGGTGGAGGACCTTCAGCAGCCAGGCGGGGGTTTCCCAAAGTGGACAGCTGGTCCCAAGGGAGCCCCAGGAAACCAGAGCCCTGGGGACGCAGGAAGCTCACCATTTCTCTTTTTCCACAGTGCTGCTAGAACAATGACCACAGAATGGGGTGTGGCTGGAGTCTGATGTGTCCCCCCAAGGCCCGTGAGTGTGGTCCCCAGCCTGGAGGCGGGGCCTAGGGAAGGAAGTTAGTTATGGGGGTGCCCTTGAAGGGGATATTGGGAGCCCTCTTAGCTTCCCAGCCACCAAGAGGTGAGCAGATATTTTTTGCCACATGGTCCCACTATAAGGGACCGTCTCACTGGAAGCCTGAAAGCTGCTGGGCCAAGTGATCATGGACTGAAACTAGGAATGCAAATAAACCTTTCGCAGGCACGGTGCTGCATGCTTATAATCCCAGTACTTCGGGGAGGCTGAGGCAGTGCGATCATAAACTCAAACAGCTTAGTGACTTAGCAAGACCCTGCCTCCACATTGAAGGGGAGAAAGTGTGGCTTAGTGTGAAGGGGTGCAATCCCAGTACCACGTACACACACACACACACACACACACACACACACACACACACACACACACACACACGAGGCTGTTTAACAGTTATTTATGGACAATAACGACTTATTTCTCACCATTCAGAAGGCTGCTAAGTCCAAAATCAAGGCACCAGCTTTCAGTGTCTGCTGGGGACCCTCTCACTGCAGAAGAGAAGGGGGACCGAATGGGCCCACCCATGCCCTCCAGCCCATGACTTGTCACCTCCAAAAGCCTCCGTTTCTGATCGCTGTTACACTGGGAATTAAGTTCCCACACATGGCTGGGCGGGGTGGGGGCTTCAAACCACAGCCCCGCCTCCACCACCCTATCTCCGTCTCACACGGCAAGGCCGCCAACAGGGCGCCCCCTGCACAAGCCCCACCCTTTCCACAGCTCCCACCCCACCCCCCGCCGGCCACCCGCGTCAAACCACCGTCAGCAGCAGGGAATGCCGCTGCGGCCATCAGCAGCAATGCCCTCCTCCCCGCCAGGAACACGCTCCACAGCCACCACGGCGCCAGCTGACACAGGCCTCCCGCCACCCCACTCCGTCACAGAGCTGCCACAGCACAGCTGCCGGCACCGGGAGCTCCACGCACCGGTGTACCTCACGCCTATCATAAGCCACATGCAGAGTCTGGTGGCCTCATTGATCCATCCTGGGGACCCCGTAACATCCATCATGGTCCTGTCCTTGAAGGGTGCTGTTAAAACCCACCTGCACTTAGAGCATGTGCCGAGGTGACTGATACCTGCTTCTGAGACCAGCCAGCCGCCTGCCCTCAGCTTCTCCCGTCACTCCTGCCCGGCACGGATGGTGGCCCACCAGGAGTCCGTCACAGGGAGCCAGCTCCGGTGCATCCAGCGCCCAGGGCCCTTGGGGAGCCCCCTGCTGCTCTGCTTTGTCTGGCCAGCGGGAGAGCGGAGGCAAAGAGGACAGCGCAGTGCCCGTGGCCAAGCCTAGAGGTGGCGTAGACTGCGCTCGCAGGCAGTGCCACCTAGATCCCAGCCACTGGGCACCCCAGCCGCGAGAGCCACCCAGAAATGTGCCCTCCCTGTGTGCCCAGGATGAGCGGCAGGCGAGCCTTGGCTGTCCACTGCCCCACGAGGTCTCTGCAGAAAGCAGCTGGGCCAGAGCACCGCAACAGAAGATTGAGTCGCACACCAAGAGAAAAGGATTACAGGTGCGCACCACTCTGCCTGGTGTGAGTGCTTAAATAAAACTGAAATGTGAAAGATATCTTCAAGATTCAACACTTAACTTTTGGCGGCAGGGAGGGAAGTCCAGGACAAAATTTCCAGGCAGGCCGCCTGCCCTGGGTTGGTTCTGTGGCAGCTCAGCCCCCAGCTCATCCCCACCAGTGGACGGCTTTGGGGTGAACTTCTGCGCCAGGAGCCGGTGCGTCTCCTGCCCCCAGAAGCATCCCGACCCTGGAACAGCGGGGCCTGGGTTCCAATCATGACTATTGTGTGGCCAGTGCAATAAAGGGTGGCTTTAAAGAATACAGGGGTTGTCCTTTCTCTCAGAACGTTGGGGAGAGAGTCTGAGATGCTCCCAGAGGAGATGCAAGTGTGGAAAGTCAGCGCTAGAGTGTAGTCTATGCATAAATCGGTGGAGTGTGGATGGATGGATTTGAGGAGCACTGGGGCTAGAGCACAGGGCCTGCTGGCGATCCATGCCTCGCCCTACAATTAGAAATGGGATGTCTCCTAAGCTAACAATGAACAGCACAGACTCCTGTTCCCAAGGGTTTGGACAACGCACACGGAAGCCAATAACGTGGTGCTGGGAGCCAGCCCCAGTCTGTCCCCCTCAGCAGCAAAGGCACTTCAGTGGGTTGTGGTGAAGGGAATAGGGAGTTGATTGGTAATACCTGGGAAGTATGCACACAGGCTCAGGGGGATCTAATCCCTGTCCTTCCTGCAACCCCTCGCTTCTAATCGAGGTCCACAAGCTCCAGTTCTCTTTTCTCAGGTTCTGCTCCAGACCTTTGGTTCCAGCAGGGCCTAGGGTTCTTTGGCTGTGTGTTGAGGTCAGTCTGAGTGGCTTTTGGGGAAGCTGCTGTTGGATGGCTCAGTTTCACTCTCTGTCTGGAAATGACGTGTGCCTCTCCTTTCAGAGTGCAGGTTAATTGTGATTCTCCTGGTTTTAAAAAATGTATATTTAGATCTACTTGAATTCTTGCCTTGCATGGTGGCACACGCCTGTTATCCCAGCACTTGGGAGGCTGAGGCAGGAGGATTGTTGCAAATCCGAGACCAGCCTGGGCTACAGAGTAAGCTCAAGGCCAGCCTGAACTGCATAGCGAGACCTTGTCTCAAAAAGACAAAAAAATCTACTTGAATTCTTTGCTGAGCTGAGGGTTCAGCTCAGTGGTAGAGTGCTTGCCTTGGGCCCAAGGATTTGATCCCCAACACCACACACAATTTCAAAAGCCAGGCACGGTGGCCCATGCCTATAATCCTAGCTGTTCAGGAGGCTGAGGCAGGAGCATTGCAAATTTGAGCCTACCTTGGGCAACTTAGGGACATAAACTGTCATGGGGTTGGGGGGCCTGAGTCTGAGAGTTTCCCAGACTTAACCCACACCTCTATAGAATGCGCACTGATTCCTGTCACAGAAAAAAAATTTACAGAGCATGCTAGAAAGGAACACAAATAGGATTAAGGAGGCAAAGGCAGAGGATGCAAAACACACTGAAGAGGGGAGTGGTGGTGTCGGAAGATGAGACGTGTTACAGCTGGGAACTTTATACATTTCTACTTTTTTTGAAGGGGTGGAAAGCTAGGGAAAAATGTGCCCTCCCCCCACCAAAAAAAGAACTAGCTTGTTAGCAGGCATGGATTTTATTTTTTTGAATAGGTGATTTAAACATTAGGTGGATTTATTCAACTTTTTGTTTACTTTGTAATCAGGCCAATATATGGTCTTTTGTTAACGGGTCTGGGAGGGAGGAGGTGTAGTTCTAGTCACAGAACGTTGGCACCGGGCTATTTCGGGTGACTTTAGCTAAATCCTGGAAGTTTCAGTCTTTGGATAAAATACAGCTTTTAGTGATGATTTTTTTGTCTCTTTTTTTAAACCTGCCTTTTATTTCTTTTATCCTATCTTATTCTTCTCAGCGAGACTTTGGTCCCTTAGTTTTAAGAGTGTGCAGAAGGCCCGACAGTCCAAATTCATATGTATCATATGACTTTTT